TATTCCAAGCCCTTTGGAATGAGTAGATGGGTGGATTAAAATGCCCAGTCCAGTGGTGGGATTCAAACATTTTTAACTACCGGTTCTGTGGGTGTGGCTTGGTGGGCGTGGCTTGGTGGGCGTGGCAGGGGAAGGATACTGCAAAATCCCCATTCCCTCCCCACCCCACTAACTTGCTTTCCAGCTCTGTTCTCCTGTGCAGGGTTAGGGTTAGGGTTACAAAAAAGACCCAGCCAATCAGCTGGGACTCAATGGGAGGCAGAGAACAGATGGGGAAGAGACCAGTCAGAGGCGGTATTTGCCGGTTCTGCGAACCACTCAAAATTTCCGCTACTGGTTCTTCAGAACTGATCCGAACCTGCTGAATACCACCTCTGCACCCCACGGGCTGGATCTAGCCCCTGGGCCTTGAGTTTGACACCCTTGGTGTACTGACCCCCCCTTTTGACCCCCAACTCATTTATTAACCTCTTGCATAGCGCCATCAACCCTTGGAGATCAATATTGACTACCTGAACTAATGTAGGAATTAAGAATGTTGTAAAAAGAATAACCTTGGAATAGTTCAACATAGATACAAAGCAAAACAGGCTCCAGCTTTATGTATCTTGATCATAAAATTGGTTCATTTTCCTTTTCAATTGTCTCCTCCCCTTTCAACTCTCTCTGAGCTGCCATTTGTCCTATTGATAAATTCTGCCTTTGGTAAATTTCAGATATATGTTTATGACATGGACTTTAGCCTTCTGCCACCAGACAAACTATGCTGATTTACTGACAGGGTCTCTATGATTCTCTGTGATTCTTTAGGCTTGCAAAACTCATTGGAATCTGAATGCCAGCAGATGAGGAAAGGAGCAATCTGTACTTCTCTATCATTTATATTTCTAGAGTTAACTTCTGGTCAGCCTACAAGGTTTAAAAATGGAGGACAATGCTTTAAAACCACAGTTAAAAGACTGTCATGTCAGAGGAGAGGGGGGGGGAATAAACTCTTAATCTGTGCAATGTTTCTTCTATTGTACAGGTAGTCCTTGTTTAGTGACTGCCTCATTTAGCAATTTTCGGATGATGAAAAAATAACTTTATGACTAGTCCTCGCATTTATAATCTTCACAGGTCTGTAAAGCTGAGGTGAGATAATAGCCACAGTTGTGATTTCACTTAGCAACCACTTTGCTTAACAACACAGTTGCTGGTTCCAATGGTGGTCACTAGCAATAGCACTTATATACCACTTCACAGTGCTTTATAACAGCCCTCTCCAAGGGGTTTACAGAGTCACCTCTTGCCCACAACAATCTGGGTCCTCATTTTACCCACCTTGGAAGGATGGAAGGATGAGTCAACCTTGATATTCGAACTGCCAAATTGCAGGCAGCCGGCAGTCAGCAGAAGGAGCCTGCAGTACTGCACTCTAACCATTGCACCATCATGGCTCAGAGTGCTTCAAAGCATTCTCAGGGTGGTTTGCAATGTCAGCCTTTTGCTCCCAACAATCTGGGTCCTCATTTTACCCACCTCAGAAGAATGGGAGGCTGAGTGAACCTTGAGCCTGATGAGATTTGAACTGCAAAAAATTGCAGTCAGCTGGCAGTCAGCAGAAGCAGATTGCAGTACTACACTCTAACCACTCTGCCACCAAGGCTCTTAAATGAGGACTTCCTGTAGGTAGACACTCCACGTTCAGCCAGAACCCAGGGAAACAGCCAGTTCTTCAACCTGTCTTGAAAAACAGCTGGATCAGGACTGTTGGGCTCTTGGAGAGAGAATGCTGTGCCTTTTATCCAATACCCATGGAGAATGTTAGTGGTATCAAGATACAAGAAATCAGGAGAAAGAATGAGAGGGATGGGAGGGGGGGGGACACAGCTACCTTCATGAACAGTGATGTGGATGACAATGCAATCAACCCTCCACCTACCATCAATGTTCAAAGTAACTGGAGTTTTGTTTTTTTTAAATTTCAGCTGCTCCAGTGTCATCCTGATGAAGCTCTTTTTAATCTTGAGTATCCGTCCTCCCTTATTGCAAACATCAGGGGGAAGGCATTCATTTTGTGGGATCACTTAAGTTAGGGTTTTGATTCTGTGCTCCATTGTCATGTTACTTGAGCGATCCAGCCAATAAAACAACTTAATATTTTTAGGAAGCTTGTGACTGATTCTTGTTGTCTTTGCTTCTGGTCTATTTTCTGAAACTGACTCAAGATTCTTTGGTTCTTCTCATTCCATTTGCAAAAATTGATCAGTCAAAGACTTCCAAGTCATTTTTCAGCAATGGTGATGTGGTCCCCTTGAAAGCTGCTTCTGCCAAGTCAAATCCTTGATCTATTAATGCATGGATCAGCGCTTCAGCACTGTGCTACCTCCTGGTGGAATGCAAAAGGTTGTCCTTCCCTCCCTCCCCTTTCTTTCTTTCTTTCTTTCTTTCTTTCTTTCTTTCTTTCTTTCTTTCTTTCTTTCTTTCTTTCTCTCTCTCTCTCTCTCTCTCTCTTTCTTTCTTTCTTTCTTTCTTTCTTTCTTTCTTTCTTTCTTTCTATCCAGATGGTGAGATTTTGCATGACACAATTAAAATCCAGTGAAATTTAGTTCAATTCCAGATATTTAACTTTTTTTTAAAAAAAAAAACCATTGCTCTTGATTTTCTTTTGTGAGTCTGGGGTCATTCACTCTACAATGTCATCAAGATCTAGAACATCCACCCAGGGACCATGGGATTTCAATTTTCTGTCTCTTTATTTGACTTGATATTTTAAAACCTAAAAAGGCATTCATGCTTTATATTTCTTTCCATCTGAACTTATGTCTCTCTTAGACAAATATATATGGATATTTCTAAAACAAGGATCAAAGTCAAGATGAAGACAACAAGTTTCTTTTCTTTTCTTTTTTTAATAAACCCGTACAGGTAGGTCTCAATCAGTTCACTTAGTAAATCCCATGAAATGGTTGCGTTACTCAAGTTCGCACTATTCAAAGTGATATTTCTGTGGAAAATAGGATACATATACATACACACACACACACGTATGTATGTATGTATGTATGTATGTATGTATGTATGTATGTATGGTATTCAGCTTTGTTTGGGTATTTTCCCACGTCATTTTAGTTGTGCTTTTAAAGTTGCAGTGACATTTCGGCAGAATCTCATCTGCCATCATCAGGCTTCTGTATTGGGTTCGTCTGTGTGTCAGGCTTTCACAGCCGTTTCTGTTTTAAATTTGGTGCTGGCCTTGTGCTGTGTTAGAATGTTTTTTTCTTCATCCTGATTGGTTGGGAGTCTTGGTCTGTGTTTATTGGTCTTGGAGTTTGCTGTGTTCTGCTTGATTGGTGTTTCTAATATCTTCTGTCTGTTTTGTAGCATTTTTTTGTCTTGATTGGCTGGCAATGTTGTGTTTCATGTATTGGGGGCCTTTAGTGCGGCTTGGCTTCGGGTGAATGGCCAGCCACCCAGATGAAACCTAGCTTCCTAATAAACGATAGCCGACTTAGCAAGAGGGAGACGGTTGTAGATTAGTGCCGTGTCCAGGGTGCTGAACTTCCACCGACTTCTTTATTCTCTGTTTTCTATTTACTCAGAACATACAGGATTATTAAGCAGCAATCTTCTTCATGGCTGAATGAATCACCCATCCCCTCCCACTTGTGACTGAATGACTGTAACTTTGTCGCGTGTATCCTTAGGATTTATATTGACTGTTTCCTAGTATGATTTGATTGCTTATTGTACCCTGTGACTACTATTAAGTATTGTACCTGATGATTCTTGACTCTTGATGAATGTCTCTTTTCTTTTATGTACACTGAGAGCATTTGCACCAAGACAAATTCCTTGTGTGTCCAATCATACTTGGCCAATCAAAAGAATTCTAATTCTAATTCTAAAGTGCTTCCTTCCTAGAGCGGAGAGAAAATGAATGGCCCAAGGTCAGCCAGCTGGCTTTTGGTGTAAGGCCAGATTAGAATTCACAGTCTCCTGGTTTCCAGTCTGATGCCTTAACCACTACATCAAACTGGCTCTCCCTCATTATATTTTAGAGAGGAATACTTGAGACACTGAGAGAGAGACAGTACAACAGTGTGAGTCCCGACTACAGGATTTTTTTTGTCTAATACAGGATTTTCTTGTCTAACACAGGATTGGGATAAATAAATACCCGGGCTCTCCCTCCTTATACAGTATTTTATTGTAAGTCATGAGTGACGTTCAGCTGGTTCTATGCATTTTGGTCTGTGATCAAATACAATTTTCCTTATAGACTTTTCCTTCTCCTTATTTATTCAAGTATTGGCTATTGAACACATTTTATATTTAACAGCCCTTATTTGTGAACATTGCATTCTTAGCTGAGTTTCTTATCAGAGGCTTACATTCTATGTTGGACTCACTCCGTTACAAACAAGTCCCTAACTCACTAAAAATGAATGAATTAACGTAGCTCCCATTAATTTCAGTGGTGCTGAGGGGCAGTTGACATAGTTGGCCTCCACCTCCAATCAAGTTTCCCTTCTCCAATGAAACTCTCACGAAACATTGCAAATATTTATGCCTTTTTATTGAAGAGTATATGTTGCACATGTTTAGAGATAAAGACTTCAGTCATTGATACAAAAACATTGTTGAAAGTAGTTCAAATGGCATAAATTCAGTTGAATTGAAAATGTCATTTTCCCTCCAAATATTCTATTGAAGAACAGGTGGAAGAAGAACAGGTGATTTATAATTATACAATTATAAAAGGCCAAAGCCTGAGAGTGTATGCCACGAGTTATATGATTCTTTAAAGTTCCTTATCGTAAAGTACAAAAAATCTGATTTCTAGAAAACAAAATTTCAAAGGTGCGATATGGAAAAGGGGGAAATCTGAGATGCAGTGAAGGTGAGTTTGGGTTTTTTTTTTCCAGAGAATTCTTGATCACCAGGAGAGGAACGAAAGCATGTCAGGGATCATCCCATTCCATTTTTTTTTTTGCCAGAAAAAACATTATTTTTTTTTGTCCCTTGAGAAGAATGGAAATCAACTTTCCTGAAAGAATCTATGGAGATTCTCAGTCATCCAGGTCATGGTTAAACCAAAGGCAATTGGACTTTTCTTTCCCCTTGAAGACATTTCATTCTCATCCAAGAAGCTTCTTCACTTCTGACTGAATGGTGGAAGAGGGAAGGATTTGTATCCCTTGCAGTCATCTGGTCCTTAGTACTCTTTCTGAAAGTCATGGAGGCCACTTGGAAGTTTATCTATGCCCCCTGGGTCCCCTGAGACCACAGATAAATCAAAAAGCACCTTTGGTTTCCTGGAACAGGAAAGAAGGGAGAACAATAGAATTCCTGCTTTCTGGGACCTGTTGCAGAAGCCTCCCAAAGTTCTTAACATTTGCCAATCCAAATGGACTTCAGAAAGAAAACATTTTGAATATTTTAGAGAAAAATGGGATGGGGAGGGGCTGGGAATGTATGGCTGTTTTCCTACATTGAAACTTCATTTATCCTTCATCCTTCATTTATAAATTTGGTGCAGGGCAAATAATTCTGATCTGTGCCTCCAGGTTACCAACGCAGCTTCACTGGTCATCTCCAAAGACAGCGTTGCATTTCTCCTACGCTGTTGTTGCTGTATTCTTATACAATATATAAGTAAGACAACCTATCCAAAGGAAAAATAATAATAATGGATTAGCTACCCAGCAGATGAAGTAGAATTAAAAACTAACAAACCAGGAATCTATGGAGGTCTGAACTCAATCACATCTCTTTATTCATCTTTTTATGACCAAGGTCTAATCCTTAAAAGTCAATGGTCCAGAATAGATCTATTGCTCTTAACTGCAGACAGTCTTAATGTCAGATATATGAGGTAAACTAAGGTAAAGCTAAAGGTTCTCCTTGCACATATGTGCTTGTCATTTCCGGCTCTAGGGGGCAGAGCTCATCTCCATTACAAAGCCAAAGAGCCAGCACTGTCCAAAGACGTCTCCGTGGTCATGTGGCTGGCATGACTAAACACTGAAGGCGCACAAAGTGCTGTTACCTTCCCACCAAAGTGGTCCCTATTTTTCTACTTGCATTTTTTATGGGCTTTCGAACTGCTAGGTTGGCAGAAGCTGGAACAGGAGCTCATTCCATTACGCGATGCTAGGGATTTGAACTGCCAAACTGCCAACCTTTCTGATCGACAAGCTCGGTGTCTTAGCTACTGAACCACCATGTCCCTTATGAGATAAATGAGTATCTCCTAAATGTCTGGAACTTCAAATCTTTTTGGTCCCAACCAAGCAACGGATTGGATAAGCTGTAATACAGGATATACAGATGTTTGGATATTTAAATGTTGCTGATTCCTCTCCTGCCAGGGAAATGTGCTTAGTTCCCAACCCAAAATGAAATAAAATTCACAGAATGCATCAATGTGCACCCTTTGAAAAATCTCACAAAGGTATTCACAAAATATCCTTACCATTTAGAAGGTACAAAGGAAAAGAAGCCCAACCCAAGCCGAAAGACCATCCAAATTTGCTGGTAGAATCAGCCCTTCCTGAGAAAATGGACATGGCAATCATGACGCAGAGGCCTGAAAATCAAGGGAGAAGTAGAGGTAGAAGTAGGGACATTTCTTTCAGAAGTATGGAAGACATCGATGGGTTTTTCAACTCTCATTACAAAAAAGGTGGCAGCCTCTTGGGATGTTTATTACATTAGTATAATCCAAGTATTTCGTATTTCCTCCAAATGCAGAAACTGGCATAGGGAAGGATGGATTAATTTGCCAAATGTCTGTGGAGATTCTCAGTCATCCAGGTCATGGTTGTCCCAAAAAGTACTTTCTTCAAAAGGCAACTGGACTTTCTATGTTTTTTCTTGAAGATGTTTTGCTTCTCATACAACGAAAGAACTTACGGTAAGTAGCTTCTGGAATGAGAAGCGAAACGTCTTCAATGAAAAACAAAGAAAGCCCAGTTGCCTTTTGAAAAAGGATCTATGGGTCAGTTTGCCAATTTTGTTTTCTCTGTATATTTTTCCATTTATAAATCTGTTCTAACAGTGAACTGCATTCTTTCCTGTATCAAAAGACTCTTCTCACAGTCATCTCTTGTCTGGGCTAGTGTACACAGGGCCATGCTTGAAGATACTCTTGAAAGACGCATTGGAAACTAAAGGTGGCTGCATGAATAATTATGAATAGACTTCAGTATCTCCACCAGACTTCAACACTTCAAGAGTTGCAATGATTTCTGGTTGGTTTGTGAGTGCAGTTCAAGGTGCTGGTTTTTAATCTATAATGCCTTTGCTTATTTGGCTCCTGGATCTTAATGGGACTGTCTTTGTCTCATTGTCTCTGTCCATCTTACAAAGACAGACAAGATGGGTGTGTTCCATCTCCCCTCAACTAACAATGCCATCTGATGAGATACTGGAGCCATGCTTTCTTTGCCCTTGGAAGTGCCTACTAGGTTCATTGGCCCCCAACCATGCTGTCAAGACTGACTCACACTTTCACCGACATTTTTCCTTTGTTTGCATTGTGGCAATAAGAGGGAGCAGGGTGGATGGAATACAGGGTGGCAGGATGGTATTCAAGCATCCATCGGCTTCCATGAGACATTGCTGTCACCTCAAGGACACACCAAGCAGATGTCCCAGAATGGCTGGTTGTTTCTCATAGTAAAATGAACAAAAGAGATTGGTGGACGTTTTGGACTGTGGGTGGCCGATAAGAAAAAGGGGGGATTAACTATCTTTTGAGATATTGCAGGCATACCCTAGAAAAGCCCACTAGGTCTAAGGTTAATTAGCCCCTCCCATGTTGTTCTTCAGAAAAGCTTTTTTAAAAAACTGGTTTTCAAGGGGGGCACAGGATGAAGTTGTCCTGTCTGGTTGATGGCAAATAGTTGAAACAATTGTAATTATACAATTTCCCAAAACTCAAATTTCTGTATTTGGTCTTGATGTTATTGTTATTGTTTTGATGTTTTAACTTTGTACACTGCCTTGTACCTTTCTGATTGTATCATCATCATCATCATTAAACACAGCTGTGTCCATTATTTTGGGCTGCCTTTTCAACTTCCCTGTCTAGCCTACATCTCTGAGCTTTTGGGGTGGTGTCCCATTCATGTATTAGGCCAGTTCAATGTTGCTTAGATGTTTGAGGTCATCCAAAATCAGATAGGTTCTACTATTTTCTGAGATGGTACACAACATTACTATTCTTTTTTTAAAAAGTAGCTAAAACATATGAAGAAATGAACTTCAAAAGCAGGCAGAACATAGAATTGGGAATGACACTATGGGTGTAATTGAAAAAGAGGAAGTTTCAAATAGCAATAGCACTTGGACTTACAGTGCTTGGACGTATACTCTTCATAGTGCTTGATAGCCCTCTCTAAGCAGTTTACAAAGTCAGGATATTGCCCCCAGCAATCTGGATCCTCATTTTATTGATCTTGGAATAATTAAACCTTGAGCCTGTCAGGATCAAACTGCTGGCAGTTGGCAGAATTAGCCTGCAATACTGCATTCTAACCACTGCACCCTGGGTAGTGTAGTGTAGTGTAGTGTAGTGTAGTGTAGTGTAGTGTAGTGTAGTGTAGTGTAGTGTAGTGTAGTATATAATACTGAATTCTAATCACTGTCCACCCTGGCTAATATGGTATAGTATGGTATGGTATGGTATGGTATGGTATGATATGGTATGGTATGGTATGGTATGGTATGGTATGGTATGGTATGGTATGGTATGGTATGGTATGGTATGGTATAGTATAGTATAGTACAGTGCAGTACAGTACAGTACAGTACAGTATAGTACTGTACTATAATACACACACACTCATAAATATACTCTGTGTGTGTGTGTGTGTGTGTGTGTGTGTGATATAAATTAGTAGTGATAGTGTTGAACTAAGCCACACAAAAAACATAACTGGGAAAAGACACTTGTAAAGATTCTTACCTGCAGTAAAGCTGGCCATATATGCAAGTCTGGGTTGACTATTCATGACGCAAAGCCCACCGAGAGAGACAGCTCCAGCGATCATCCCCAGAAACATGAAGGTTCGGATGGCATGTAAAGTGGCTGTAGGGAACCAATGCAGACACAAGATAAGAATTCAAGGTGGAAGTTCCTGGGCCTTTCAGGCTAGTGATGCATTTGAAATATTGAATCTTACCTGGCACCCATTCCACACCAAGTGATTGACATGCTCCGTGATTACAGATTTTCCATAGACCCAAATGTGAGCCGGAATCTGCTAGCCAATAGTCTGAGCCCAAGGCAGTGAGCAGGCACAGAAGACTGATGAAGGAACAGAACACAGCACCGAAATGTAGGGCACTCATTTCTATGGGATGCGCTGGTCTGCCACTGGCCAAAAGGTGTGGGATGGAACTGGAGGAGAACATTAATTTTATGTCATTGATGTTCATTACTTTGATCATTTATGGTTTGTTGTTCTTAGTTGCAAAGTCAGGTCTGATGGTTACACATCTTAATTACTTTGTCTGCTAACAATTTGAGGTGTGTGTGTGTGTGTGTGTGTGTGTGTGTGTGTGATTTTAGTACACAGTAAACTCCCTGGGAAGAATGAGAGCCATTGAGAGCCAGGTGGTGGCTTAGTGGTTAAGACACTAGGCTGGCACTAGGTTCAAGATTTGAGTGCCATGCAACCAAGCTCCTGCTCACCTAGCAGTTCAAGAACATGCAATTGTGAGTAGATAAAATAGGTGGGAAGGTAATATCGCTCCATGGCATCATGCTGGCTTCATGAATGTGGAAATATATTTGGAAAATTACTGGTCCAATTGCCTTGAAACGGAGAGCCACTGATCCCAGTGTAGACTTTCAGATAGTTATCTGAATAGAGACTGACTTACCAGGAAGAAGAATCTCGGTTCCATGTTTAAATGTGTCTGGTTTCTTCCTCAAAACGTTTCTGTTTATGGTGTCAAAAACTATAAAGGTAGCACACAATTCCTTACCAATAGATGTGCATTTCACAATACATTGTAAAATAAAACTATTGTCTCTTAGAGAGCACTCCATTCTGAATCGAGCCATCCTTCCACCAAGAGGGGTTCCCCCCCACATTCAGTCCTATATTTTGCTCAAATGAATTTTGGCGCACCTTATATAAATAAGACTTATGAGCCTATAGTTTGGGGGGGGGGGGAGTCTTCCTTGTCTCCTTTCTAAAAATGGGGACAAAATTGGAAACTTCCCATTCTAATAGAATGCGGCCTGTGTTATTTATTTATCTAAGGAGACAATTGTGACAGCAATGGGACTCACTTATGTGTCCTAAAATATTCTGCAGTTAGAATTTGTTCACTGGGCATCTTATTCGGGTTTTAGCGTCTGAATAATAATAAATATAGTTTTTGCCATTGCCACTATCCCTCTTTTTTAGGGGGATTCAATAAATGTGAAAATAAATAAATAAACAAAAAATTTCCCTTTGAAAAACGCGGTAGGGTTATTCTAGAGCAGGGGTATCCAACTCGATTTCATTGAGGATCACATCAGGATTGTGTTTGACCCAGTGGTGGGATTCAAATGTATGCATTTCACAGCATAACAGGCGAATTAGGAACAGCAGAGTTGAATTTCTAGATCTTCATTTTTGTTCTATTTATTTTGCTACTTTGGATACGCAGAGCAATCTTTGGTTAATCCGAAGGAAACATCCACAACTTTCTTGTCTGACACCCAGCTATTACTTGGGAGTTAGGATCAACTTTGTCTTTCTGAGTGGATGTTTTTAGATCATAGGAACGGTGAGATTTCATTGGTTCACCAAGGCTGTGGATTGCGATTGAGCGGGAGTGGATCTCTTTTAAAGGATCCATTGTGTCAAAAGTTCAGAAACTGGGAGCATTGCTTGTACTCTCAATAGGCATTGCCTGGGAAATGAAATCCATTGTTTTCATTTTAAGTTGTTGAGTTTGGTTTTCCTCACTTCCTTTCAATATAAATCCTGCAGCTGCTGAAGAAAGAGTTGCAATCCATGCAAATGCTTCAAGGCCATTTCTGTTTTATCTTTCCTTTCAGAGTTACAGTAACTCTCCAGGTGAAGGAGAAGAGAACCACCCCCATTTTATCCTGCTCAGAAACTTAAAAAGTTAGGTAGCTATTGCTGACAGAAAGCAGCTACCTCTGATTCACTCACTGAAAGTGGCCATGGGCATTTAAATCCAGGTCTCTGTTCCTTATTTACTTATTTTCTAACCATTCCTATCACTTTTTAATTGGGGGAAATGCAAAGGTAAATCTTAAATTACAGATTATTTAAGGAAAAGTCAACTTTTTTCCCCCTAGGAAGTGGGGAGAAAGAAAGAGAAAAATCTCACATATTTTTATGCACACACACACACACACAAAGGATTGTGTTTTGAATGTTTCTGTTCAAGAACTACCATTTAGCTCCACAGATTTCAAAGAGTTGTTACAGAAACTCTGGCTGTCAGATTCAGTAGCTTGTTTTCTTTTGTATCCTTCCTTCTATATTTAATGTTAGCACATTTAGCACATGTTCCATTCAAAAACCCAGAATGCTTTCATTTAAACGGACAAGTGATCAAATTTATCAGAAATGAGCGAACATTTTAAGAAGATGAACATCTTAAAGAAGATCAGAGCTTTAGGATTTCTCAAGGAATTTCTCAAGGAATCTTGAGCTAATACATCCAGCCGGTATTAATCTCACTGATTATGAAACAAATTTTTATGAATTTATATATATATAAATTATGAAAAAAAACTTAGAGGTATTATTATACAAGCAGAAAAATATTTAACTTTCCCCTCTTTTTCTTAAGTAAAGTAGCCTAGCGTAAAATATTGATTTCAAAAGCTTACGATTAGATCCCATCAGTTCTTCTTGAAACTCATTCAGAATAAAATTTGCCAATTCTTAAATGATTAAAGAAATAAAGAAATACTATCTCACCAGCTTAGAATCTGTTCCTTGACCTTCCTGCAGATGATAACTCTCCGAAGTAGAGTTCTAGAATACTTGAGCTCTACTCCCAGATACTATATGTTAACAGATGACTATCACTTCCTTTATAATTTAAGGAAGACTCTTGATGTGCAAATTCCCTCCCCACCCATATACAGTTTGCTTCCTGTTGAATTTCTTAATTCTTGGATCTCTGAGATCTTAAAACAATTGCAACATCAATGGCTAAATAAGAGAAACAGAAGTTAGAACTTCTAAAATCACAAGAGAAAGAATTAATTTTATTATTAGGGTTGATTATTGTAACTTATTAATTTTGATTAGTATTAATAATTAATATGTATTAATATTATGAGGGAAAAGCACTGTCATTATGAGATTACTACTAGAGAATATTATTATTATTACTATGATGAGTATTTCTTAATTCTTGGGTCTCTGACATCTTAAAACAATTGCAACACATCAACCATTGCAATAGTCACTGCAGTTTGAATCGTTAAACCTAGCATTGAGAAATACATTTTATTTATTAAGTTTATATGCCTTTCAATTCATTCAAAAAAAATCCATTAAAATTTATTAATTTATTTAGAAAGAAGAAAGAACATCTTGATTAGCTGAAGACTTGTTGAAATGAAAACTAAATCCTTTAAAATAGTGGTCCTTATTCTGTTCAAAAATGTTACGGGATGTTCTAAATTGTCAGACTTTGATTTAGCTCTACTTACTTAGAGAACAGACAGAAACGTTCATAGGGCATACTTAGCATATTTCCAACTGAGACACGGGAATATTGTAACTGTGACCTCATTCCTGGCATGAGGCTATGTTTTATCTAGCCAAGACAACCAATGGGACAAAAATCATACAGGAGCTCTCCTTGGTGACTATTCTGGCTAGCTGGACAGGATCACTGGAAGAGGATTCGATGCGTCTTCATCAGTAAAGCACCTGATGGAAAAAGAGAAAGAAGTTAATTTCAGACTAAGCTGAGACTCATCCAAATTAACTCTAATTGATGTAACTCCTTACACACACACACACACACACGCACGCACGCATGCACCCCTCTGGTACCTTCATCCCATTGCAACATTTGGATAGAACGCAAACTTACTTCCAGAAGAAATCCAGGGATTCTGTTACATCCTTGCCCAGTTATTGAACATGGACTTAGTTTGCTGCTAAAATATTTGCTTTGGTTGCTAAGGTGTTTCCTCATGATTCTCCGGCTTTTACTAAATTAATGCCTAACATATATTGGTGCTTCTGCACTCTATACACTCCTGGTTGAATTCTTGGCTGATTTTTTTTAAAAAAAACTGCTAATCACATGTTTATTTTATTCCAGCTGTATTTTTTTTGTTTGTTTTAAAATATGCTGATTTTCTTTTCTTTTTGTTCTCTCTCTCTCTCATCTATCTATCATCCATCTGTCTGTCTGTCTGTGTCTGTCTGTCTGTCTGTCTGTCTATCAAGCAACTCTCTCTCATCGATCTATCTATCTATCATATCTATCTATCTATGTCTAACAATCAATCATCCATCCATCTTTCTGTCAAGCATCTCTCTCGTCTATCAGATATCTATCATTCATATCTATCATCTATCCTCTGTCATCTATCTATCAATTATCTATCATCTATCTCTATTGATCATCTAACTCTAATCTATCTATCTATCATAAATCTAATAATCTATCTATCTATCATCTATCTATCTATCTATCTATCTATCTATCTATCTATCTATCTATCTATCTATCTTTTGGTTTTTACATATGTTTTCTTTTCCCCTATTTCATTTTCAACTAATTATATGGCTCCTAATAGAAAATGCACATTCATTGCTAAGGTAGTTGGCATTGTTCTTCTTCCCTGCAATAGTTAAAAACTCTTTATTTTCCAATTCTCTGTATGGTCTATTTTTCTTTGGTGGACATTCTCTCTAAGCAGATGGCTATCAAGATGAGCCCTGTCAGATGTTGTGGCTCACCTGTTATGAAGAACATTGGAATGCAAGCCCAGGCCAAGCTGTAGGAGGACCCAAAGATAATTAAATGCTGCGTATAAGGCCTGCTGTTCCTGTATATATATGTGAATATGCACATGCCAAGTAAGAAGAGAGTACCTAGGCCAAATAGGAGAAGGAGAGGGAGGGGAGGAATTTGCTTCAAAAGAACATTGCATATAATATTAGTTTGTTTGTTTAAAAACAGTTACATGGGTGCCCAACTCAACCAATTCTGGCTGGCTTTTAACAAACTTGATAAAACCTAACCAAAAGGACACAAAACCACAGCATATAAACTGATAAGTAATAAGAAAATGGTGGTCAAAGCAGAAGTGATATCATTCTCCAATTGGGGTGCCAATATGTCACATCCCAAAGGCTCAGGGGAATTAACAGCTCTACTTTGCCTGCCATTGATAAGAACAAAAGAATAACCCTGCCAAATCTGGGCAAGGCCCATCGTGGTCCAACATCACCATGACCAACCATGATCAACCAGATGCTTGTGAGGGACTTAGAAGCAGGATGTGAAAACATATCTTTCTTCTGTCCTTGTTATCTTGCAATATTAGAATCAGAATAGATCTGGAAGGGACCTTGGAGGTCTTCTAGTCCAGCCCTCTGCTCAAACCGGAGATCCTATACCATTTGAGACAGGTGACTGTCCAGTCTCTTCTTAAAAACCTCCAGTGATGAAGCACCCACATCTTCCTGCTATGAGGCAGTTCCACTGGGTAATTGTCCTCCCTGTTAGGAAGTTTCTCCTTGATTCTAGGTTGCTTCTCTCCTTGATTGGTTTCCATCCATTGTTTCTTGTCTTGCTCTCTGGTGCTTTGGAAAATAAACTGACCCCCTCCTCTTCATGGCAGCCTCTCAAATACTGGAATACTGCTATCATATCTCATGTTCAAATAGTATTTGAAGAGATGCTGTTCCCCTCCTGGAGGTGACACTGAGATTCAGTGTTACTCCAGGTTGAGGTCAGCATGCCTTCAAACACCATCTCAAGAATAATACTCCATGAATTCACTCAATCCATTTTGTAAGGTTTTCCAAACTAGCAGTTATCATCCTGCACAGGTCACAGAGTGCAATGTGAAGAAGAGTATTTTATGGCCCACTTTTCAGCCTTGCAATGGCATATCCTTCAAGAGAGAAGTGTTGTGGTCTGCCAGCAGCCTGCCAGCAGAGTTGGTGGCAGATTCGGACAATGAGGAGGTTGGGGAGGAACATGGGCCAGTCCTGGAGTCCAGGGAAGGCTCTGACAAGGGCTCTGCATCGGAGGCAGGGATGGGGCCAGGGCCGTCCAACAGTTATCAGCTGCCTTTGGAGTTGGAGAACAGTGGAGCAGAAGAGCAACTGGAGTCTGTTCCCAATGTGCACATGCCCAGAGCTGCCAGGAGAAGAGGAACAAGGGTCGACTTGGGATTAAAGGCACAGGTGGATGGTGAATAGGGAATAAAGAGGAGCGAAAGGGGAGTGGGGTTTGCAGGAGACAATTCGTTCATTTAATTAGGATGAAGATCCGTTCGAGACTCTTTGCCAAGTATTTTCTGATAAAGCGTTACACTTGGAAGCTATCGGCCTGGCAACTCTCCAAGCCTGATAAGGTTTGTGGTTGTAAATCACCCTTGAAAGACTGTTTGCCAGGACTTCGCTGGGTGCGAATGATAGGAATTCATATTAGCCTAATGGGGTTTTGTTGAGACGAGGATTCTGCTTCGTGATTTGGGTGAAGCCCAGGTCAGAATAAGAAGGATGGGCCTGCCAATACAGTAAAATAAAAATGGAGGAACCCCAACAGTTACCTGCTATGATGCTGAAGATAGAGGAAAGCAAGACCAGGGAGACTAAGTTCACTTGGGTACGAACGAAAGAAAAGGAGACACAGCACCAAGCCAGGAAGCCACAGATTGTCCCAAGCACCAGGAAAATCCTAGTCGTATGGACAAACCATGCTAGGATCCATGGAGAAAGAGGATAAGAATAGCATTAGGTAGTGATGGCACAAAGATGGATGGACTCTCTTTAGCCCACCTTCACAAAAAATAGATTAAGTTTTGCCATCAGCAAAATCTCCAGGGAAATACGTTGGAAAATAACCATTAAGCTCTATGTTGTATCTTTGTGAGGTTTCTAGCAGGTTGTTTTCCTCTTAGCTCTTTTAGCAAAATTGCTTTCATGGCAAATTCTAATAGCAAAAATAGCAATGAAAATTCCATGCATATTGTATGAAAACTATGCCTTTAACTCTTAAATACTTAACAAAACCCAAGCATCTACCTGTATTCAGTAAATAACAGTAAAAAATATCCAAGCATGTTAGCTCAGAATGAGTTCTGAACATCTAGATTTTTATTAATATGAAGGTGAAATTAAAATATGCCACTAAACTCCTTGAAATAACAATGTCTTCATTGTCACTATATTTGCCAATGTATTAAAAACATTCTCACAGGGCCCGGCCTCATGGCAAATGTATAAGTCAACACAGAGACAGAACAGATGTAGCATAAATGCATTTATGTGTGTGACCGAAATGAAAGAATCTGAACCGGAGAGTTTGCATAATATTGTGTACTATTTGCTCAATATTTAAAGCAAATATTCAAAGTCTTACCTAGGTTAATTGGATAAAAGTCACAATTTGGATCTAAGCAAATGCTCCAGAGACCCCCATGAAGGAGGCCGTGAGGTGTACTTTCAGTCACCCAGTAAGGTGTGAACAAGGCTATCAACATCAACATTAGACTCGCAGTGCAGAAAATCAGGCTGCTGAACCAGAGGGGTTGCATCAAGAAACGAAAGTTAGTTTGAGAATACACCGATATGGTTGAGATAGTCCTAGAAAGGAAGAGAAGTGAGTCATTATCCACATTTGGTGGCTCATGAGATTAGCAACCTGGCTGATGGTTGCCGCAGGATGGGGTGAGTTTCCATCATGTGCTTCAGCTCTCGTCAACCCAGAGGTTCAAAAGCAGGTTACCAAAGCAGATAAACAAGTACCACTTCAATAGGCAACTTCACCAGGAAGCTAAAGTTGCCTTTCTTCTTATCCAAATTTTAGAATGAACTTGTAGTTCTTTCTCTCTGTTCTCCTTTAAATCTCCTAATCTCACTTTCAGGACTGGGATAAATGAAAGGGGAACAAACAATTCAGAATAACATTGACTGTAGAAGACAACATGAAGATTTGTGTCCATCAAGTTCTGTATGTATTTCTCCCTCTGGAAATAATGTTGCTTGTTACGTCAAAGGGAGAATTAAAATTAAATAGTCCATTTTTTTTTTCCAGACTAAGGACTCAACAGTCAAGGATAAGGAACAGTTCATAGATCAAATTTTAACAAAACAAACATTACTGCCAGTAATTTAAAATGACCATTACAGGGCTGGCAAAAGGGACAAGTTTTATCATCCAAATGGGGTGAGCAGGAACCAAACACCTATCCATAGGGTGACGTTCTACAGTTAAGGAGTTGCTCAGGGAAATGTCCTTTCCAATAGATATCATAGTTGAACTTTTGGCTAAGGGGGCATCTTTAAATGATCTTTTCCCTCTGGTCTAAATAATTACTCAGTTACATAGTAGATAGGAGAGATGGATGGACCTTCTATTCCAGGGATGTTCAACTTGGCAAGTTTAAGATTTATGGACTTCAACAGTTGAAGTCCACAAATGAAGTCTTGAAATCCATAAGTCTTAAAGATGCCAAGGTTGGATACCCAGTGAAGCAGAATTCCTATATATTACAGAAATGCCATCTTCGGTATCTCTAGTTCTAGGTTGCTGCCTCATAGGGTAACCCAACCCTGTTGTCATACCTGTCTACCATATTTATGTTGGGGTTTGACTCTGGAGAAGCATTAACCCTTTCAGAAATATATCCGGTTGCCTAGGACGCTACAGCTGATCCAGTCACTGCCAAGCAACATAACATTTGACCAATCAGACTCTTGGAGAATTCTACATGTGGAAATTTAAACCAATCAGAGAAGCAACAGGAAAAATGGTCCTCCACCATTCAGAACAAATTTGAAAATGTCAGATGAGTCAATCTTAAATCAAAAGAAATTTCAGTCATAAATTTAGGGATTGGAAAAAAAATGAAATAAACAGCAGAAAGTTAAATAAGATTCCAATAAACAAACTAAGGGTACACATAAAATTGCAATATTGAAACCTATACAAGAAGGTGTTAGAATCAATCCTAAAGAGCAGAGAGCTTCTTGTGGGAAATAGATCCTATTTTGGTTTTTATAAGACATAACAAATGTAAGCAACATCACAATTTCAAAAACTGAACACAAGAGGGGATGAGATTTTAGCTAGTGGAGAGATACACAGGCCCATAAAAATGAAGCTAAACAATAACAGTATTGAAGGAGATTTTTGAAGAGTGCAATCAGGAAATAGTACTGTCTGGTCAAAATTCTGTTGCTAAGTGAAATATTTAAGTGAGTTTGCCCCATTTTATGACCTTTCTTGCCAAAGTTGTTAAGTGAATCACCACAGTTGTTAAATTAGTCCAACTGTTGTTAAGTGAATCTGGCTTCCCCACTGACTTTACTTGTCTGAAGGTCGCAAAAGGAAAAAAGGTCACAAAATCCCCATTCCCTCCCCATCCCACTAACCTGCTTTCCAGCTCTGTTCTCCTGTGCAGGGCAACCAAAGAAGACCCAGCCGATCAGCTGGGACTCAGGAGGCAGAGAAGAGATGGTGCCGGGGCCAGGCAGAGGTGGTATTTGCCAGTTCTCTGAACTACTCAAAATTTCCACTACCGGTTCTCCAGAACCGGTCAGAACCTGCTGAATACCACCTCTGGTCTAATCCACCATAGCTATTTTATACCACAAATGTGGCAAACCCTTTGCACTGCGTATTGCTTGCATTTTAATATTAAATTGACTACGGGCCTCACAGTTTATGGATTATTATTTTAGCATAGTTAGGCCATGTGTAATTGACAGGCTGCTGGATTTTAACGTAGATTGTATCTGTTATTTATTATTTATTCTAGAATTTTTAATTGGATATTCACGGAACGTTTTTATTTGTTCTGGTCCCTGGTCTGTGATTGTAATAAACTGAATTGATGATTGATTGATTGATTGATAAATATGAGTCACTTGCCCAGCCTCTGAATTTTGACCACATGACCTTGGGGATGCTATTATGGTGGTAAGTGTGAAAACTAGGCCATAAATCACTTTTCTCAGTGACGTTGTAACTTTGAATCATCACTAAATGAACCACCAAGGATTACCTGTACTTAAAGAGTACTTAAAACCCATTTATAGAATGGATTACTCCACCATGATGATCTCTTCAGAGCTTACCCTACACTTAAAGGAAACCAACATATTTTGTCTGAGGCCAGGCCTTGCCATTGCCTTAAATATGTCTATCTGTTTCATCTGTATTTGAAGTCAACTCAAATGAGGCACGGAAAGAAGTGTTTTTATTTATGACATTTCTTTCTAGGGAGCTCATGAGGACTTTGGTTGGTTCTCCCTTCAGTCCTCTGTGGCCTTCCAGCAATCACGGGAAGTAAGTCATACAGAGAAAGAACAACCAGGTCTATTTAACATGTCAAGATATGGTTTAATGAATCATGATTGTTTCAATAAAACATAGTTGACTGGGTTGACACTCACATTCAGCCAAAACAAATTACGCTGGTTGTCTGTGTAAAGAATGCATCATGACCACCCATGAACTTTATGACTAAGCTGACATGCCCCTGGTGGAGACTGACTCTGAGGGAGAGGAGGAAAAGCTGACAGGGAGTGGAAGTGTGGCTCTGGAGGTTGTGGAGGAGGTTATGGAATGGCAGAGTCCGGCTGGGCAGTCAGAGGAGGACCCAGGCCCATCCTGTTAAGTATGGAGAATAATGGAGACCAGACATCTGACCAGTGACTTCAACTCTTTAATAACAGTAAATAGAACAGAACAGAGCAAGGCTATGGGCAGCAGTAACCCTTTTATAGGGTTAGCTGCTACCTTATTAACCAATGAGATGAGCAACAAGTTCAAACTAATAACCAATAAGAATAGTCCAAATAGTGGCCAATCAGGGACTAGTTCTGGCCCAATCCAAAGTTGTTGTATAAGGACCAATCAAGTGTGCAGGTTTTCAAACCCTGATTTGCATTTAAGTTATTAACTTTTATTGATTCACAACACATCCCCTCTCCATCCTAGGGCACACAGGGAGGAGAGGATAAGGGAGAGACATAGTCTACTCGGAAGGAAAGGGCCTTGATCCTCTTCATGGGCTGCAGCTGTGACAACTGGATAAGAGGATGGACCTGTGTACTGGCGAATGCTGGAAACAAAGCATGGAAATATTTCTAGTTTATTGTTCCTCTCTGATGCCTCCTTTGGCATCCTTCCCCATGTGTGTTCTAATATCTGTGGACATCTTCCAGCCCTTATCTTGCCTGGTTTGTGTTGCTTTTTACTCTTTATAATTTTAACAGCATTTCCTCCTTCTTGTAACTGCTTGTGTGGGAGTTTTTTGTCTCCAGTCAAGGATATTTGGAGCTTGGGAGCAAAGTGAAGGAATAAAAGGGGCTTCACCTGTTTTTTGTGACTGTGTTTATTTTGTACCCCACCCTGGGTCATCACATAAGCAGATATTTAACCTGAATCACTTCACCCTAGTCAAATCCTTTATATCTGCCACACCATGCCAGAGGGTTTTTGGGAGGGAAGGAAAAAAGTCACTGCATACACTTTTAACACTGAAAAATTGCTTTTTTTAATTTCAAACAAGACAGGCATGATCTAAAAAGATCTCAAGAAAATCTGGATGGAACAAGAAAGGCTAGGCAACCATGGGGCCAAATACATAGTTATGGAATGTTTATCGACAACAACTAACAAACAAAACCATATTCACATGTGTTTTCACTGACAAATACAACCCACAGGTAAACTGATCCCCACAAAAATATATTTATATGCCAGATTCCCATGCATTTGCACAGATCCTCAGACAACAAGGCCTAACCAAAATGGACACCACTGTTCTCCTCAGGATGTCCATTTTACTGCCATCATGACACCACCATATACTCACTCACTTACACCGGAAGCTAATGCTCCTAGGGCAAACCTACGCATTGTTTAATTCATTTTCAGTTAGAGAAAGGCTGAAATATTGTCAGCCTTGATTCACTGCCACAATATAATTGTAAGGTATCTTTTTGAGGTGCGTGAAGACAAATGAGGCATTATTTACAATGGCTGTCACGGAGTAGCATGACGTGCTTTCTTCTTCTCTGTCTCTTCCCTTCTCATTTCCTGGTTTCAGCCCTCTCTGGTTCCTTATGATACCCAAGGCGTGTGAAATTAGCATGAGCCATTATTTAGCTGCAAGTCAGAACAGGAAACCAATGCCCAGTTTCCAATTTAAAGGTGAAGCAAGTTCCTACTTTTTCCTCCCAGATCATAGCTTCTGGAATGTCATAGCAAGCCATGGTCATTTCCAGCTATCATAAAATATTGCATGCCAATGTCCTGCCAAGATGGAAGAGAACTGTCTGAAGGCCATTCATAGTGGCAAAACCATGGTCCAATTACATTGGAACGAGAAGAAATGGGATATTTTCTTCATATACCCAGAATAAAGTTGCATTTGCTCCAGCTAAATGCTCCAGCGCATAATCGTTTCCATGATTATGAAACCAGCAAATGTGCTATAAGTGACTTTCTAAAAAGTCTCAGTGGGAGGGTAGATGCCTAGGCTAAAGAAATGATGGTTTTTTCAGTCAGCAAAAGTAGAATACCTGGGGGAACAAAGGGGAAAAATGAGTCATATAAATCACCTGTCAAAGCCAGAGATAGTAATATGATTGATTGATTGATCAACTTATTTTAAAAAGTTGCCTTTTCAAGTCTTGAAAATTCAGATATCTTGGACTTCGTCTCCCAACTGCCCTCTCCCAACTGCCCTAGTTCTTCAAACCATCACTAGCGTCAAAAACATAATGACATTAAATGTAGAGAAGAAAAGACAACTGCAGACCTTAGAAAAGATGACTCACCGGTAATGATGTACATAAGAATGGAAGCCCAGCCCAAGCTGAAGGATGAGCCAAATGTTACTAAATTTTGGGCATATCCTGGGGATTTCCTAAGAATGGCAGTGAACAAAGACATGGCAACCAGAACAAGGAAACCTATGGACAAAAGAGAAGGAAAAAGAAATGTGGAGTGAGAGTTGAAGAGCAGCCTCGCAACCTCACCCACCTCTGTGGAAAACCTCTGGTGTTCATCAGCTCTTAACTGAGAATTATCCTGGGACAACAGACCTGAAGGACCACACAATCTAATTATCCATCAACCACAGGGCCAACCATATGAGCAAGAGTTATATCCTAATACCCTAATGAGCCACGGTAGCGCAGTGTTTAGAATGCAGTACTGCAAGCTACTTCTGCTGCCTGCCGGTTGCCCTGCAATTTGACAGTTCGATTCTAACCGTCTCAAGGTTGACTCAATCTTGGACTCATCTGTAAATCACTTAGAGAAGGCTGTAAAGCACCGTGAAGTATAAATCTAAGTGCTACTGCTACTGCTAAGTGCTATTGTGCTAAGTATAAATCTAAGTGCTATTGCTACTGCTAATAACCAACAGAAGCTCCAACAACATGCAACTAACTGACCTGAACTATCTGCCAAGGCCAGGTTATGTCTCACTATTTCTTTCTGGGCTGGAACAGCTGGTCTCTCTCCACCCTTGTCCCTTTAGATTGGGAGCTTAAAGGCAGGGGGTGATTGTTTTTTTTGTTCCCTCTTTTTAATTTGTCTGAGCGACTTTGGAAAGCAAGCACTGTCTGGGGAAAAAAAAAAACCTTTTGGTTTTAGACAAATAGTCCAACAGCTGGAATAATTTGAAGAAATACCTGAGTTTACCCTTAGGGCGTCCTTCATGCAAAGCACAGGTTCACATCCTGAAGAACAGCATCTATATTTACCAAGTCCCTCAAATAAGGGCTGAGGATTGCTTCTGATTTAAGTACCAAAAAGATGCCTTGAATATGTAGAAGCATAAACAATGCCCCTCCCTGAGATTGCAGTAGCTATAGAACTACATAACACCAAGAATGCCCCAAAGAATATATAAATGGCCACCTATCTCAACCCCATTGTCAGGGTTCCGATGGATGCCTTAATTAATTCATGAGCCTCAAGTCAATTTTCAAAAGAAATCCAATTATTTATTAGGAGCAACATGTCGGCACTTTCCCAAGTGTATTTGGCTCTGCCCCACATAATTTACTGCCCACTTATGACCCTGTTTCCTCCCTCCTCCCAGGGTGTGTCATAAATCTCATTCTCCAACTGAGCACTTTCGTGGGCTGTAGAAAACACGCTTCTCTGGCTTGCTCTAGTAACCTGGGATACAATCTAGAGAAAGGTATGTGTGGAATGTGCTTCTGATCATAGCAACTGAGCTTCTCCCCCCTTCCTGCCTATGGCAACTCAAGAGCAGTCCAGGAATGCTTTACGAGTTGACACCCATTTTGTCAGCCAACCCAGAAACATGCTGCTGTCAATTGAAGTTTGTGGCTACTAAATAAACAGACATCTCCTTTCCAAAATGCGGCCTGACTCCATTTTATTTTCAGCGTCTTTCTCCTGGGTTAGAACTGGATCCGATTTTTCTTCCAACAATACCAAACAGAGACCTAGTTGCTTTAAAGAGTTGCAGGCAAAGGCTATGATTTCATTCCAAAACCCCTTTCTGGAATAATTCTCAAAGGCTGCCCAAGTCTATTACCAACCTGCACTAAAGCTGAAGATGGCTGCTACTTTTATCACCGATACGTCGTATAGCTTGTTACGTTCAAAAGAGATGCAACTGAAAAGCAACCCTATGAAGCCACAGAAGAGGGCCATTAGCAGGAAGGCACGGGTAACGTGGATGTGCAGAGCTGTGCCCAAGAAAAGAAAGAAAAACATTAGTGTGCCTCGGTGTGTATAACTGCAGCCCCACAACCCTGTCCTTGCACCCCAAAAGAACATCCCAAAAATTCTGCAACAATTCGTAGCAAATTGCCGAGTCTAAACAATAACGCTCGTAAAGAGGCGTATTAAACTTCCAATACATTTGATGCCCCACTAAAAAAAAATTAAAAAAAACTTTTTAAACTCCACTCTGGCTCACTGTTGCTAGCAACCATTGGATATTTTTTTAAAAAATGCTGAAATTAAAGGAATCACAAAGGAAGTGAGATCTGCATGGAATTTTTTAAAAAAAGCTGGGTTTTGCATCTCTACTTTGTACCTGATGTTTACCTAGACATTAATTGGGATGTCAGTTCAAAAATTTGGTCCCAATAGGTAGCAGCAGCACCTAACCAAGTTTGTCTGATCTTGAAACTAGTGATTGCATGGGAAAATCTGGGGTTAGTGTGATGGATTGTGCACCTGCAGGAGCAGAAGGGGAGTTTTGGCGACACTTGAGCTTTCCCAGAAAGACGCTTGGATTAAGAGACTGTGCAGTCCTGAACTGGATGGGGAGGAAGGAAGAGGTTCAGAGGTAAAATCTCTCAGGATATACACTTGCTAGATTAGAAGGTTATACCTGTAAATAGCAATAGCAATAGACTTATATACCGCTTCACCGTGTTTTACAGCCCTCTCTAAGCGGTTTACAATGTCAGCCTATTGCCCCCAACAATTTGGGTCCTCATTTTACTCACCTCAGAAGGATGGAAGGCTGAGTCAACCTTGAGCCTGGTGAGAATTGAACTGCCAAATTGCAGGCAACCAGCAGGCAGCAGAAGTAGCCTGCAGTACTGCAGTCTAACCACTGCGCCACCGTGGCTCCTTTTTTTTTTAAGGCAAATTAGGCAAAATCCTGTCTCTTAGGTGTAAGCAAAGAAAGGGTTGGACTTAATTGGATCTCACTGTTTTGTTTCTGGGCTTGGGTCTGAAAGTAAGAGGCTAGATTGGAAAATCAGGTCGACATCCTAGAAAAAGGCATGAGTAAATCACCGTCTTTAGCTCAAAGGCGTTTCCTTTTTATCAGTTCAATTTTCTCATTTTGTTCTGGGTCAGGAAGAGCCACCCCAAACTAGTGGGTCCAACAGCCAACACGGCAGCTGAAATGGGCCCCAAAAGAACAAATTCTCTCCTTTGAGAACTGATTGTAAATTCCCCTGAAGTTTCAGCAGCCTCCTATGGCTGAAACCCAGTCTATTTCTCAAAATGGGAGAAGTGAGCATTGCATATGCTGCTTTGACTTCCTGGAGGGAAGGCAGAATATAAAATGAATGAGTGAGTGAATAAATATCTTTAAGACATTACAAGATGGAGTGGAGAGATCTTACCTAAGAGATTAAACTGGTATAGGTTGCATTTTGATTCTAAGCAGATGTCCCAGAGACCACTATGAACCATGCCTCTATAAGTTGTCTCCAGTACCCAGTAAGAGGTACTCAAGGACATATATTCCAACAGCAGACTTCCCGCTGAGCAAATGCCACAGCTAATCTTCAGGGGTTGAGTCAAGAAAGACAAATTTATCTCTAAACTGGTGATGCTTGTTAAAGAAACTGTAGTGGAAGGGATTTCTCTGGAGGGAGGATGAAGAAAAAAATTAAAGTCATTATGATTATTTCTAATTTATTTTTTTCAGTCCTGATTAATGGTCGTTTGAAGGGAAGTCCTGGATATTGATTGTAATATCTGGTAGAACATATCAGTATCTCAGGTTGTAGTGCTACTAGACCATACTGGAAATCTGTATCTGTTCTGACCTAAACTCTTTTCCAATAAAGCAAACACGAACCAAAGGGAACAGAAACCGTTTAATGATTCTTATGAATCACCGGTTAAAAGGCTGCTGCAAACTAATTAACTTTGATAAGCACAAGCTTCGCCAAAACTGTGGTAGTCTGCCAAGAATAACAGATAAGAAAGATTTCACAACACAAGACTCTTCAAATACCAACTTAAGATACTGTAATGTCCATGAGGCTGAGTTTCAAAATGTCTTTGCTTCCTGCAAAGAACGTTCGCTTCACGGCTGCCTTTTATCTTCTTGAAGGAGGGGCCATTGCCTTGCAGCCTTACTCCCAAGTCACCTGTGCTGCTGCAACTGCTCTTTCCTGTGAGCAACCCTGCATGCGCATGTGTACTTGGCACAGGCTCCTCGGGAATCTCCTCATTGCTGCTGCCAGCCCCCACAATCTCTGAAGGCAGAAGTCCACTCTCTAATGGTCCTGGCCCCTCATCTGAGTCCTTGTTCTCCTCAGCCATCTGCACCTGCTGTCGGCTAACCACAACAGTGTCTGAGATTTCTTGTTCCACATATTCCTTTACTTCAGGGTAAAATGACCCAGTAGGATTTTCCAAAGCAAAAGAAGGCAAGGCAAGAAACAATGGATGGGAACTAATCAAGAAGTGGAACAACTTGTCTTGAGAAGTTGTAGGTGCTTAATCACCTGTCTGAAATGTCTGTAGTGTCTCCTGCTTGAGCAGGGGGCTGGACTAGAAGACCTCCAAGGTCCCTTCCAACTCTATTCTGATTAATTTTCATTGATGGAATTGTTACTTCTTGGCAGGCTGGACTGGAAAGAATCATCAGGCAGACAAAAATCCAACAACTTTTGATCTGGAATTTTTATTATAGAAAAATTAAGAAGCCATTCTGAAACAATTCCAGCCCCCTCCTCAAGCAAGAGACCCTATACCATTTCTGATAGATGACTGTCCAGTCACTTCTTAAAAACCTCCAGTGATGAAGCACCTACAACTTTTATCTAAAATAACTCCATCCAAACAAATGTAATTGATCCTTAAGCCTGTAGATGTTAACCAATCTAATAATTTGAATCACAATTGTACAGACATTAAATCAAACTATCTGTATGTTTATCCTTCCTTTACATTTGAAAGTTGCTTCTTCTTTATAATAATTAACTTAACCTATTCTCAATTTATCCGAACAGAATTCAGTTAGCTATAACCTCAAACTTTTCAAACGGGAATATGAAAATCCATGGTGGCAAGAAATTAATTACAAATGCAAGGATTCATTATTTCTGTGGATGTTTTATGGGGCAATCTTGATCAGCTAAGAACCACCATCAAGTTATAAGAATGGGGAATGACAAAATGTAGGTCAAGGTTTCCAATTTGTTTTTTTTAAAATTGCATTAACAGAGGGATTCAATCAGTAGAGTGGTACTAATACCACTCTATAAAGCCTTGGTAAGACCACACCTAGAATACTGCATCCAGTTTTGGTCACCACACTATAAAAAAAGATGTTGAGACTCGAGAAAGAGTGCAGAGAAGAGCAACCAGGATGATTGGGGGTCTGGAGGCTAAAACATACGATGAACGTTTGCAGGAACTGGGCTTGGCTAGTCTAGTAAAGAAAAGGACCAGGGGAGACATGATAGCGGTCTTCCAATATTTGAAGGGTTGCCACAGAGAGGAAGGGATCAAGCTATTTTTCAGAGCACCTGAAGGCCAGACAAGGAATAATGGATGGAAAATGATCAAGGAGATATTCAACCTGGAAATAAGGAGACATTATTCAACAGCGAGAGCAATCAACCAATGGAATAGAAGTTGCCTTCGTAAGCTGAGGGACCTTCATCACTGGAGTCTTTCAAGAAGAGACCAGGCTGCCATTTGCCAGAAATGGAGTAGGGTCTCCTGCTTGGGCAGGGGTTGGACTACAAGGTCCCTCCCAACTCTGTTAATGTTAACTCTTTTAAATCTGTTAAGACCTTACCCCTTTCTCCCTCCCACAACAGGTCCAACAGCCACACCTTTCTGCCATTTGGGGCAGCTTCTCTGCAATGGAAGCAGGGATGGAGAAACAGCAACCTCTTCTGAGATCCACTCGGTTGCCTCGGCTACCATCACAGGTTCCTAGCCTACCACTGGAATCTGCATTGATGGGTGCAAATTCCGACCAATGAGGCTTCCGGGTTCTTCTGTCCCCAAGGTTTCTGGCCAATTAGATCAATGTTGTGCAACAAGGGAAAGAATGTTTTGATTGCAATTTAAATTTTGAAGAGTCTGAAGTGTAATGAGAAGAACTGAAAAGATCCAATAGTTTCCTTACAAGAAACTCCTAAAATTACCTAGGAGTACCTCCAGAAGTGTAAAATTGACCCCTCCTCTCTCCAGTATCTATCTTGTATCGCTTATCTACCTATATTCAGAGGTGGTATTCAGCAGGTTCTGACCAGTTCTGGAGAACCAGTAGCGGAAATTTTGAGTAGTTCGGTGAACCGGCAAATACCACCTCAGACTGGCCCCGCCAACCCCATCTATTCTCTGCCTCCTGAGTCCCAACTAATCAGCTGGGTCTTCTTTGGTTGCCCTGCACAGGAGAACGGAGCTGGAAAGCAGGTTTGTGGGATGGGGAGGGAAAGGGTATTTTGCAGTAACCTTCCCCTGGAGTGGGGTGGGAATGAGGATTTTGCAGTAACCTTCCCCCAGGAATAGAGAAGGAATGGAGATTTTACACTATCCTTCCCGTGCCATGCCCACCAAGCCACGTCCACAGAACCTGTAGTAAAAAAATTTGAATCCCCCCAATGCCTATATCCCATCTATCTATCTTATCTATATCTGTCAAATCCCTGTATCTATCCATCCATCTATACCTCTCTCTATATACTGTATCTTTCTCTTTATTTCTCTTTTGCTATCATCTATCTAATCATTGGGTTTTTATTTTTTTTTTCCAGGTATTTACAACTGAAATAAACAATAGCTAAATAAATAGGTATGCAAAGAGAAATGATCTTATAAAAATAAAATATTGCACTATTGCTTAGGGAGATAATCTGGATAAATAAAATTAGGTAAATAAAATTGAATCTTAATTTTATTGGCTGTCTTGAAATGCCCATTGTGACAATTCTGCTGAAGTTTAAATAAATGTATCTATGCCTTGTATGAAAGAAAACAGTCCATCTTGCTAACACAATGCCAACTTTATTTCAACAAGTGAGAAGTTATCAGAAAAACACAATTTCACATCTTCCCCTAGGGGAAACAAAAATATTTTACTATAAAGTATTTCAAATCACCACAAATGCTTTTCTTGGGTTTAAAAACCCACGTTCACCACATAAGATATGCAAAAAGGTTTTAAAAGCTTTCTAAACAAACTCAGTGTTGAACACTTAACACTTAAAACAGCAAGATTAATTAGCATTTAGATATACTAGACAGACATCGTTATTAAAATAACATATCCATCTGTGTGTGCAAAGAAAAAAAGCATGGATGGTCTTTGCTAACAATTTCTCCCATGCAGTGAAATGATAACCATCTTCGCAATGATGTAGTCTGTATTCTGAGATTTGCATGATGATTTCAAGCTTCTGTGCTTCAGATGTTGAATGTAATAGGCATTAATCTTTGGGTTGAAACCAGACAGACTGTAGTTTAAAAGTCATGGATCATTTCTACAGAACCCACAATGGGCATTTTGCAGAATTGGATGTGGGTGACTGCATGGACTCAGTAGGATGCCTCCATTGTAACAAACTGCCAATTGAAAAAAACAACAACAACAAGCTGTGATAGTTAACACAATATGAAATAGCTTTCCATTGGTGATATATCTTAAAATACCCCAGACTAAGAATAAACGATGCCACAAATGCAATTCTCCACTGCTTTTTCCATTCTCTTCAAATAGCAAGGTGGTTGAGTACTGGTTGATGTAGCCTATTTTGGAAAGGATAGCAGGTGTATCTGATTATGTCAGAAGAACCCTTGTTTCATGAATAAAAGACAACACAGGTTGTGAATGATCTGTAAAAGAAGACATAATAACCACAACCTACCTACACTGGAGTCAAATGTCTATCTTAACCAATTAAACTGCTCTGGAATTCCAGAAATGGAAACTTTTGGAGAAATCTCCTCTTAGATCCCAAATCTGTTAAACTACACGATATCCTCATTTTCTCCTCCTAGCTAATCTCTCACCCATAATCTATGCTAAAGGTTTTGATTCTTCATCAGGTGCACCCTTCATGGCCTCTTCCTCTTCTGGTCTAGATTTCTCTGGATCTATATCGATGGTCAGATCTGTAGAACATTCAGAACTTGACTTCTCCGGGACATCAGAATAAAGGCTCAGAAGATAATGGGCAAACCTGCCATTCTTCTTCCAATCCGAGTCAGACGCGGTGGGTTCCATCTCAGTAGATGTAGCTGCCTGGTCTTGGGAAAGGGACTTGGGAAGGGGAGAGGTCTCCAGTTTCTGTTTGAGTAGATCCGTAGATGGAGCACATTCTATGTCGTAACTATCTCCTGCTTCAGAAGTATTCATTTCTTTGTCCTGAAGGGAAGAATTGGAAAAACACTCAGGAGCGCTGGCGGTTTCTTGGATGTTCTGATATTCTGCTTCCCAATCTTCTGCTTTATCCTGACCAGTTGTGGTAGTCATCTCAGCAACTGCAGTATTATCGTTGACGCTGGCAGGCTGTTGAGGTCCTTGCTTCCTTGGCCATTCAATCTGGCCATGGGTCGAGTATCTTTGGCCTTTGGGGCCATCGCACATCTCTTGCCAACAATTTCCATCTCGCTTCCTCTTCACGTTCAGAGTATGTTCTCCAAATGAGGCGCCTTCCCTTTTGCTGTTGGGCGAGCCTGAAGACCAAGGAGTTGACTCAGCCAGGCTTTCCCTGGGGTTGCTCCAAGACTTCCTGAAATTTCCCTCCTTCCTTTGCCAGTTGTCCCCTTTCCAATACCTCCCGCCTTCATCTCTCTGCCTCTCCTTCCATCCCAATGGGGACTGGGATCGTTTCCATCCCCTTGCCGGATCTGCTTGAGGGGATCCAGACCAGTTCTTCCCACCATCCCATTGGGCAACCCTGGCCCGTTGGTTGTGCTGCCTATCCGGGATTCCACTGCCATGAGAATAAGAGTTTCTATAAACTGTATCATCACGGTGAGGCGTACTAGGGTGCCAGGCGTAAGGAGCACTACCAGAAGCCTTATGGCAGGTGGGTTGGCAGCTGTTACAGCAGCTCCCTGCCTGTGAAGCACCCAGGCCATGACACGCAGAGACAGATCCTTGCCCACTCTGAATAGGTAGGGGAGCCAGGGCATTCTGGGCCCCTTTGGCAGCACTGTTCAGCAAGAAGTACAGGACATCCAAGCGTACGGGCACTGTTAAGGAGGACAGATTGCTGGATGATGTCACATGTCCCAAGGAGTTAGGATGCAGGTCAGAAGCTCCAGATGTGGACATGTCTTTGGTGGATGACCCAGGTGGCATCAGCACCAGCCTTCTTTCAAGGGCCTCATGATTAACAGGCTTCTGGTTCTCAGCCATAGGACTTTCTGCGTGATTCCCAGGAGACCCAAAGGCTGTAGGAAAAAGGAGAACACAAAGCCAACTGTCAAGAATCTCAGAGTATATTCATGAACTGGAATAGAGCTTGGTAACAAGGTCAGCCAATGAATAGGCATAGCAACTAAGTCATCCAATGAAGAGAGTTTGGAAACTGAAACTAGAAGTAGCCTAGGCTGGAAACTGAAACTAGTGGTCTAGGCATGGCTCTATATTAGTGATGGCTAACCTATGACACGCGTGTCACTCGTGACACGCCGAGGCACTTTGACTGACACGCCTGTTGGTGTGGGGAAAACCTGCACATTTAGAGGCTGCCTGTGCTCTGCTCCAATCCCTGCTCCCTGCTTGTTGCATGGAGGCATGGTGTCACCGCTGCCGCGAGATCTTTGCAGCAGAGAACCAGTTTTAACCGCCATAAACTGAGGTTTGTCAGTTTCATTACCTCAGGAACGCTACAGGAGGAAAGGAGATCCATGAGGTTCACAGCCCTGTAAGGTGGCCTTCCGATCCCCACATCCTGCACCTGCAGCCCTGAGACCAGGGAGACGAGTTTCACAGCCCTGTGTGATCACCCCAGCCCAGTCCGTCATAAACCAAATTATTGATATTTCTTGAAGTGACACACGACCCGAGGAAGGCTACACTTTTTTCCAATTTTCGACACACCAAGCTGAAAAGGTTAGCCATCACTGCTCTATATTAACCTCTGCAGCTATGTTAAGGTCTGAGTCTGTCTGTTGAAGATGAAACTAACTTGCTTGCTTGCCTGCTGAACTAAAGTGAAACTAATGTCTGTTTCTGTGCTACTGAAGTTACTTGCAACATGTTTCTGTCTGAGTTTGCTCCATTTATTTATTTATTTATTTGATTTGTCACTCGCTTACAAGATAATAGGTATAAGTATAAACATGAGTAAGAATACAGGAAATAGGTACGAATAAATGGGGACAATAGGACAAGGACGGGAGGCACGTCCTATCCATGTTGAAGAAATCGACAACTGGTTTGTAGAAATCTACTTATGTTTATAAAGATGTTAAATGAAGCATCAGACATCTGTGTTTATTTTTCTGCCACTGAATTAATTTTTCTGGCACTGAATTAGCAAAACTCTGAACAAAGAAAACTACTTCTTCAAACCTGTTTTCAATAGGCTTGAAAAAAAAATGGTGGGGTTTTTTGGTGTTTTTTTTTTGGACAAAAGTCTTATCAATTAATCTACACGTCATCTTCCTGCCTTCCCTTCCACAGGAAACACACAACAGAAGACTCTAACCATCAAATAAACCTCCGAAACAAATAAAGAACATTAGGAAATTGAAACAGGTAGTTCTTGATTTGCGACAGTTCATTTAGTGACTGAAGTTACAAAGGCACTGGAAAAAAAGTGACTTTTTCACACTTACAACCATAGTACCCATCCCCATGGTCATGTGATTTTCATTTGGATGCTTGACAACTGACTCAAACTTATGACAGTTGCAGTGTCCCAGAGTCATCCCTTTTTGTGACCTTCTGATGAGCAACAGTCAAT